GTTAGCTTCCAACTAGGGAAAGGGGGTAGGAAGGGAAAGTGTAAAACATAGAACAGAAAATGTGAAAACTGGATACATTCATTCACTGAAACTCTGACCCTGCTTTAGTTCCTCTTCTGTTGCTGTAGTAAGATCACGTGACTAAGGAAACCTGTAAAAGAGACCGTGTGCCGGGCCGTGGTGGCGCACGCCTTTAATCCCAGCACTTGGGAGGCAGAGGCAGGTGGATCTCTGGCTCCAAAGCCACAGAGAAACCCTGTCTCGAAAAACCAAAAAAAAAAAAAAAAAGAGAGAGAGAGAGAGAGAGAGACCGTGTGATTGGGCTTATGCCCCTAGAGCGCTAAACTCCGCGATGACGGAGTGACCGTGTGGCAATGGGCAGTCGGGAAAGCAGCTGAGAGCTCCCGTCTTGATCCACAAGCAGAACCCTAGCGGCACACCTCCTCCATCAAGGCCACATCTCCTAACGCTTCCCAAACAGCCCCACCGACTGGGGGCCAAGTACACAAACATGTGGGCCCATGGGGCCATTCTCATTCACAGGCCACAGTCACTGCCGGCATTTTGGGCTGTGCCCCCTTCGCTAATGGGCTCACATGTTGGACATTTTTTTCGACAGAGACACACTTACACCTCAGTGGTTTTCACACTCTTGAGTCTTCCCTGTGCCGTCCATCTTTTTAATATTAGGAACAAAGCATCTTTTTTATTTTAGCTTTTTGTTTATTTGTATGGGGGAGCAGTATATGCTTGTAAGTGCAGGGGTCTGTGGAGGCCAGAGATGAAGGTGGAGGCGTTTGTGAGCTGCCACGCATGGGTGCTGAGCGCAGACCTTGGAGCCTTCGTGAGCTTTAGTTGCTGGGATATCTCTCCAGCCCCTGGTATTTATTTTCAATTGGAAGAAGGGAGGTATGTTTTAATCAGAATTTACTTTGAGGGCCTGGAGAGGTGGCCCAGTGGTTACAACACTTGCTCTTCCAGAGGACCTGGGCTGAATTCCCAGCCTCCATACAGTGCTTCGCAGCCATCCGTAGCTGCAGTTCTAGAGAAGTTGTTGCCACTTTCTGGCTTCTGAAGACACTGGGTATGCAAGTGGTACCAGACATACATGTGATCAAAACACTCATAAAAATAAGATTATTCTTTAAAAAGAATCCACTTTGTCCACTGATCAGCGGTTCTCAGCCTTCCTTTAACACAGTGCCCCAATCATAAAGTTACTTCATCGCTACTTCATAACTGTCATGTTGCTGCTTTTATGAGTTGTAATTTAAATATCTGATACGCGACCCTGATAAAGGGTCTTTTGATCCCACAGGTTGGGAACCACTGCCCTGGAAGACACATTCACAGAAAATATTCTTTAGTTTTCTATGTCAGGGTTTTTATCCTTTTGAGTTTCTAGCCTGATTTTTATAAACTAACATGGAAGAGGCAGGTCCTCTCAATTTACCAATTTAAGAATATGGGTTTCACGGGCTGGAGAGATGGCTCAGTGGTTGAGAGCATTTCCTGCTCTTCCAAGGGTCCTGAGTTCAATTCCCAGCAACCACATGGTGGCTCACAGCCATCTTTGATGAGATCTGGTGCCCTCTTCTGCCTGTAGGCACATACACGGACAGAGTATTGTATACATAATAAATAAATATTTTTAAAAAAAAGAATATGGGTTTCTGTCAAGGCATGGTGGCACACCCCTTGAATCCCATCACTCAGGAGACAGAGGCAGGAAGACCTCTGTGAGTTTGAGGCCAGCCTGGTCCACAGAGTGAGTTGCAGGACGGCCACAGCTACATAGTGAGACCCCGTCTCAAAAAAAAAATTGAGAATATATGAGTTTGCTTAGTAACAGGAAGTCGTGGAGTAGAAATTTGTACCACTGTGGTGCGCACAAGCAGTAAATATTTCTGGAAACAATATGTGACTGTCCCCAGGCATGGTACATAGGAAGGTTCTGCTGGGAAAAGGAAGACTCCTTGACAATTAGCTGCAAAGATTTGGCTTGGGTTTTATCTGTGTGTATGTGTCTGCATGTACAGAGGCCTGTGTGTGTGTGTGTGTGTGTGTGTGTGTGTGTGTGTGTGTGTACGGATATATGCATGTGGAGGTGGAGGCCAACTTTGGGTATCATCCTTAGAAGCCATCCACCTTGTGTTTTGAGACAGTGTCTTCCTCTGTATCCCAGGCTGGCCCTGCACTCACAGCAGCCATCTTGCTTCAGTCCCTGGAGTACTAGAATTACAGGCATGAGCCGCCATGCCTGGTTTTGAAAATGCTTATTAGCGTCTATTATGTTCCAGAGACCTCACTAGGGTGGAGGTGGGTATTGTGCAGGGTGAACTAGTCAGAGGAAGTTGACATGGATCAGATAGTCATCCCATTAAATATATGATGAGGGAAGTTACTGCTCTAGAGAGAGTGTGGTCTGGGAGCACTCCAGTCTGGAAACTGCTCTAGAGAAAGAGTGTGGTCTGGGAGCACTCCAGTCTGGAAACTGCTCTAGAGAAAGAGTGTGGTCTGGGAGCACTCCAGTCTGGAGACTGCTCTAGAGAAAGAGCTTGGTCTAGGGGAGCACTCCACTCTGGAGACTGTGGTGACTTCCCCAAAGAAATAACACTTGAGTGAGCTGGAAAGAGGAGTCAGTATTTGGTGTTCCTATTTTCCAGAAATAGAGAAAGCATGTCAAATAAAGACTGGAGCAGGACTAGTAGAGCTTGGAACACAGAGAAGAGAGGGAAAGTTTGAGTGTATGGTGCCTCACGAGCCGTAAGGCACAGACTTAAAGGATCCGATCCTAAAAGCTGTAGAGAGCCCTGGGAAACATTCATGCTGCTGTGGGAATCCTGAGTGTCCCAGGGTTCCTTAACCCAGTGAATCCTCTAACTTATTTCCAATTCTCTGGCTGGTACTTCTCTTCTTCTAGTCTACTTAAAACTGCCATCTACCCTTCTGTCCTCCAGCCAGCCAGTTACCAGTTTATTCCTAAAAGTCCCCAATTCTATTTTCATGGCAGCAAATGCCCTCAGCGTCATACCTGCTCTTGTTCATTGCAAACCCTCACTCCGCCTCTTGCCCAGCCTAGTATAGTAGTCCTCTCATTGCCGCTACCTTTTCCCCGCTGCCACTTTCCCCCAAATAAACTGAAGATAGCTTCTCACACATTCCCTGAGGTCCTCTGTGACCTGATAGTGTGGTCTCACACTTTTTTTTTTAATCCTTAAAAATAGCCAGATTGCTATGTAGTTTGTAGCATAACATTTACTCATTTAAAGTGTGGCACTAAATTATTTTTAGCATTTGCACAGCTAGGCAGTCATCACCATGCCCCTGCATCAGAACGCCTTTGTTGCCCCACCACCACCAAATAAGGCCACACCTATTAGCAGCACACCCACCCACGAGCTCTCTGCAGACTTAGGGAGATACCAGTTTATTTCCCTAGATTTCCTGGACATTTCACAGAAACGGGATCACAGAGCCTCTGCCCTCTCATGACTGTCTCCTTCCCAGGCTCACCCGTGTTTCGTGTGTGTCTACACTGTTTTGTAAGAGAAGGTTCATGGATAGGCGGTCTGCCTGCCCTGTCTCGGCTCTCTTTAAGTGGTCCTGGAGTTCTTCCTTGGAGTCTGGTGTTTAAAAGCGTGTGGTGTGGTGTGGTGTGGTGCGGTCCTTCTCCGTTTCCTATGATGAGGGCTTAGTGACATGAACGTGGCACTGTTCAATACGCCTTGATTAGCGTGTGTTGAGCACAAGGTTGACGTGGACTGTTGCTCTGCTAAGAGCAGACATTCCCCAGCCATCATCCAGCGAGGCTTCCGAGAATAGGAAGGCGTAGACCAGCTTTGCAAAGCACCGTGCCACGTCCTTACTTTCCCGTGCTGTGCTGTGGTTCTGCAGAGAACAGGGGTGAGATTCCTTTTAACTTGTGAAAAGTTATGGACCTTATTGGAGAGTCTAAAAGCAAAGGTGAAAATGTGAGCGTTAGCAGAAATAAAGTCTTAGAAGAGCAAAGGCATCCACCGTAGAGCTTGACTAGGCCTATTGTCTGTGAGTGGGAGACCCACGAGAGGGGATCGAGGGTGTTTGTGACCTTGACCACATACGTGGAGGAGACGGAGCTTCCTGGCTGCCTAATTAAGGAATCTTCTAAGAATAGAAATTCAGGAATCTTCTAAGAATAGAAATTCAAGCCGGGCGGTGGTGGCGCATGCCTTTAATCCCAGCACTTGGGAGGCAGAGGCAGGCGGATCTCTGTGAGTTCGAGGCCAGCCTGGTCTACAAGAGCTAGTTCCAGGACAGGCTCTAAAGCTACAGAGAAACCCTGTCTCAAAAAAAAAAAAAAAGAATAGAAATTCATTCACTCACTCTGGATTGAGAGTTAGCCAGCACTCGATAAGACCTGGGTGAACTGTGCACAGTGCTCACTGGAGGAGCTGTCTTGCAATCAGAAAACCTGAAATAGGTTAAGTCTGCTTTAGAAGATGAAAAACTTGAGGTCTAGAGTCTCAACCACCCCAACTGCCTCAGAGTCGCAGAGACCTGGTGCCCCTGGGCTAGACCAGCTCTCCTTAACAAGGAAGACAGTTACCACATATGTGTGGTACACTCTACTTAATTAAGCACTGTTTTTCTCCTCTCTTGTATGAGATTCGTGTGTGTGTGTGTGTGTGTGTGTGTGTGTGTGTGTGTGTGTGTGTGTGTGTGTGTGATGCTGAGGTCATGCCCAGGGCCTTAAGCATTCGGCACAAAGCTCTCTAAGGTGGCGCTATCTCCCCTACCCAGGTTCGTTTTCTTACAGTATCCTCATGACAGCCTGTGAAGTGTGCTGCACAGATAACCCTCATTCCACAGATGGCAAAACCAGAATCACACAGCCAGTCAGAAGTAGACCAAGCAAGGCCTTCTGACTTCTTAGCATGAACCCTTTCCAGTATGCCTTGCTGCACTATTTAATAGTACCTGCCTTTTCCGTGAATGGATAAGACTGATTTTGTCCACAGAGCCATGGGGGTGCTGATGTCCAAGTGGCAGACCGTCGAGCAGGTGCAGAAGGTGAGCCTGGCTGTGTCAGCCTTCAAGGACGGACTACGGGACAGGCCTTCCATTAGACGTGGGGGTGAGCTACCAGGGTCCCGCCGCGGCACTGTGGAGGGCTCTGTTCAGGAAGTACAGGAAGAAAAAGAAGCAGAGACCAGTGCCCTGGTGGTTCAGGAAGAGAGCAGCATCAACCGTGCAGCCTGGGAGCGGCTCCGAGATGGGCGTGGAGTCGAGCCTGAGGAGTTTGACAGGACCAGTCGATTCACACCCCCTGCCTTCATCCGACCCACCCGGAAGCTGGATGACGACAAACCTCCAGATATCTGCTTGGATCCCCGGGAGCCTGTGAGTGTTCCGTTAAGGCAGGATTCCCCTGTCTTAGCCTTTAAAAGGATCAAAGAATAGGACAGGAAAAACTAGGTGTGGTTGAGGTAAGACTTGAACCAGAAGAGGAAGCTGGGTTCAGAACAGTCCTTGCCCCACAAGATGGGTTTAAATGTGTCTCTGTGTAGAGTGCTTGCCTTGTGTGTTCAAGTCCCTCTATCCCCAGTACCACAAAGGGAAGCAATATTTCATAAGTATAAAACACTAAGTATAGCTTGGATTAGTCCAAGTGTAAGACTTGGACTTTTGAGTGGGAAGGAATGGTGGCGTGACAAAGCTTGAACTAATCCTATCATCTATGGATTCTCAACCACAGAAGGTACTAACCCTTGTAGGGGACATTTGGGAAATTGAAAAGGGGAACTGGGGTAAGATACAATGACTGGGGGGTTCTACTGGCATATAGATAGTATAAGACAGCTGGGATTTTAAATGTCATATAGTGCTTGGGACAATCTGTCCACAGATTATTCTCTATGAAGTGCCAGTCATATCCCTGTTCAGAAACATAGTAACAGAGCCCTAAGCAGCTAGAAGAGCTTCCTGGTTCTCGTCCACCAGGAAGAACACTCTTACCCTTCACCGTGGCTCCAGAGAGACCCAGTCCCACACAGCAGCCCGTAGGATCTCGCTCTCTGTACTTTCAAATCCTGTTCCTTCCGGCCAGGTTGTCAACGATGAGATGTGTGATATCTGTGAAGTCTGGACCGCCGAGAGCCTCTTCCCATGCCGCGTCTGCACCAGGGTCTTCCACGACGGCTGTCTGCGCCGCATGGGCTACCTCCAAGGAAGCAGTGCAGCGGAGGTGACAGAGATGGCCCACACCGAGACCGGCTGGAGCTGCTACTACTGTGTGAGTCTGGACTGCAGGACGGCAGGAAAACTTGGCGTCTTTCCAGAGGCCCAGTCTTAAAAATGGCTGCTTCTAAGTTGTGACCTAAGGGGTTTCCTAACAGTGCACGCAAGGGTGCTAGATAGGTAGATAATCAATTCCTTGCTGTGTGGTGTATTGCATGACACAAAACACATGCCAGCAGCACACAGGCCCAGTTGTAACGTGCTGGACCTAAGTGTGTTCCAGAGGGAGCAAACCACCCTCAGCTGGGAATCATAAGAACAGGTCTAACCGATGAAGAGCAGTTCTGCCCAGGGAAGTGTCAGGTTCTCTAGAAGTCTGTAGTTGTTGTTCCTTGTACTTACCTGAAAAAGCCACCTGGCGTCCTGAGCAGCGTGCTTCCAGGAGAGGTAGCTTCTGTCTCCGGAAAACACTCAGTCTTGATGTCCTCGCTTGACCTGCTGCCTATTGGGAGCGGTGGTTCTGCATCTCTGAAGTGGTGGTTATGTGAATTAAGAAGCAAAGCCGTATTGATTGATAACGCTGCAACTCTGTAGAAATGCCTTCCAGCTCTTAATGGCAGAAAGACACTTAGGTTTCCATTGAAAGCCAGCTTCACAGCCGTTCACCACCATTCCTGAGTAGACTCCCAGCCTCTCCCTCCTGCTGTGCCGTCCTGCGGATTCTTCACCAAGCCTCTGACTCAGTGCACTGAGCAGCTGCCGACTGTCTTCTTCCTCTGCCTGCAGAAAGCAAACGGGCTACTTTCTGACTCTCCACCTATGGCTGATCCACAAAACCAAGTCTGGAAGTTATTTCCAGCTACTGCATACCCCACTCTGAAATACACCACAGAACACACACCCTGCTCTGCTGTCCTGTCCGTCCTTGCCTCCCCCCCCCTCCCCTGACCCTTACGTACACACACTGCCACCAGCACCAGCATTTACGGCAACCCCGCCACCGGTCTGCTGCCAGCGTGGGCCTGCCTCAGTCAGTGCGTGTCTCCTTGCTGTCCTCTGTGAATGCTCTGCTTCCTTCCCGGCTCTGCTAGGGTCCTGCTGTCGCCGCCTCTGCCGGCCTCTTACAGAAAGACTTCCTTCAAGTTCATCCCTTTCTCTTCCCGCCATCCACAACCATACTTCCTAAGGGCACTTCACTGTCTCCCGACTTCTCTGCCCCTCCAGCCTGACCTCTGCATTCAGCTCCTTGCTGAATGGACTTTTACTGAGGCCATCAATAATCTCTCAATGGTCAAGTCCAAAGAGGCCTTTTCAGGTGTCTTCTTTGTTAGCCTTTCTGGTAACACTTCCTTATTTCCTTCTCTTTCTCTTGGCATTTGTTTTCTAGGATGTATACACTATATGGAAACTAGACAAAATGTTCACAAATAATAAATATCACCACTCTTAATACCACCTCCCATAGCCTGCCACAGCCTGCCACAGCCTGCCACAGTCTTTGCTTGGTATCCAGTACTCCTGGTCTCTTCTGGCTGCCTTTGATCATTCTTTCTCAACAGCGATGGTTTGTTTCCATTCTGGGCACTGTATTCCTCGGGGTCCTGTCGTCTTTCTCACTATCTAAACATTAGTGATTCCCATATCTGTGTCCAGACTTAAATTTCCTACCTCAGGGGCTTCCCCATCTTGATGTCTCACCAGTACTTCATGATTAGAATGCCCCCAAATGAACTTGCCTTTCTGCCTACAGCTGCTCTTTCTCCATCCCTTACCTCTGTGAACAGTAACTTCATTCGCCGGTTCCCCGGTCCCAGCTCTTCCCTGGCCCTCTTCCCTCACAGCCGCTGGGTCACCAGGTTCTGTTGGCTTGGCTACCAACACCCCTCTTTGCCCCTCCCTCTTCTCATCTCTGGTTTTAGACACTCATTTTTTTCTTACCCGTACCATTACAACAGCCACTTAAGAGATTTTGTCCCTCTGAACCATTTCCCCATAGCAGTCAGAGATCTGACAATGACAACCATCCTTCCGTGCCTTCCCATTGTCCTTAGAACAAACGCCCAAGTTAAGGGTCTCAGCCCAGGCCATGAAGAACATCACAGTTCCTTATCTATTTCTGTTTCTCCTTGCACCCCCTTCATGGTCACATGCAGCAGCCACACCAAATATCACAGTGTCGAGCACATAGCCATTGTGCCCAGAACATGCCAGATGCTCAATAGGTGTCTACTGAAAGAGTCATCGGGTTCTCGGGGAAACCCATAGGTGGGTACCCATGTGATACTGCATATGCTCTTGGCTAACAGTTTAGGAGGACAGTTAACCAACTACTACTGCAAAGGACTTTTATTCTCTAATCTTTTTTAATTACTTATCATTTACTTATTTATTTGGCTTTCCGAGACAGAGTTTCTCTGTGTAGCCCTGATTGTCCTGAAACTTGCTCTGTAGACCAGGCTGGCCTCAGACTCACAGAGATCCACCTGCCTCTGCCTCCCAAGTGCTGGGATTAAAGGCGTGCATCACTGCTACTCCACAAAGAACTTTCATAATTTAAAGACTCCATAGGACTGCCAACAAAATAAGTTCTCAGTGCTTCCTAGTAATTAAAACTTCTATGACAACATAAAAATTCATCTTGTTTAGGAACATTTCAAAACCATTCTAGAACCACTTAAAGCTGCACACCCACTAGAAGCAGGGCTGTTTGTTTTCATAATGAAAATGTGCATTAGGCACAGCCAGTGCTTCTAATAAATACTTGCTGAGCATCTGGGCTAGGGTCGCCCTGCAGCAGCTTCCTGGGGTGCTTCTGTGACATCCTTGTTTGCTCATGGTAACTTGAAAGCAGTATTTACTGAAGGGACTTAGCCAGATATCTGGATTCCAGGGAGGACTCTTACCCAAATTCAGATAGCTCAGAGCAAATCTTCCCTCTTTTTAGGGCCTTAGTCTCCTTGACTGTGAGTGAGGGCTGGGATCGGGGGATCCTGGCGTCTCTTTGGGGGGAACGTTCCCACCCCTCTTGACCCAGGGCTTTTTGTTTGTCGCTGGCCTGTATAGCCACTGATTTTGCTTTCGTGTTCCCTCAGGACAACCTTAACCTGCTGCTCACCGAGGAGGAGATGTACAGCCTCACAGAGACCTTTCAGCGGTGTAAAGTCATCCCTGGTAAGGCCGCCAGTGCTGCCGAGAAGGAGGGGCCGGCCGCATCCCCTTTCTTCCTGAGAATTTGGGGATTTGGGGAGTAGGGATGAGTGAGTCCTTCTTCCTGGGTTGTGGCCATCACAGGCACTGCCTTCCACCACAGCTCCCCTGAGCTCTCCTGGCTATGGGAGGTATAACCCGATGAGAACTGGGACTGTGGGGGCGCTGAGGGTGCCTTAGAGGTGAGTGAAGGTGTCCAGGGCTGAGGAGGGGTGGGCATAGCCAGCACAGATTGCCTCCCACAGATTGCTCCCTGACCCTGGACGACTTTGTGCGCTACCGCCACCAAGCAGCAAAGCGAGGGGATAGCAACAGGGCCCTGAGCGACGAACAAGAGGAACAGGCAGCCCGCCAGTTTGCAGCCTTGGACCCTGAACACCGAGGCCACATAGAGTGGTCCGACTTCTTGTCCCATGAATCTCTCCTACTGCTGCAGCAGCTGCGTCCCCAGGTGAGGAGCAGCAGTAACGAATGTCCATGGGGGTCAGAGGCCTCAGGTGCATGCTGGGCACATTAGGGCAGCATTGGGAACTGTCTAAGCAAGAACAGGGATCGGGAAAGGGTGTCAGGTCCATCCAGTGGTAGATGACCAGTGACCAGGGCCGAGGAGACTGCTGGAGAAGATCGTCTGTGACCGGACGCCCCTAAAAATGTCAGGCTCTCAAAAAGGCTCTGGGAACATCTAAGGAGGGCAGCAGACGTATGGACATGGAAGTGCAGTTCTCTGTGGTTTTCAAGATATTTTCGCCTTCGAGACCTTAACTTAGCTCTTCTTCCCCAGAACTCTCTATTGAGGCTTCTCACCGTCAAGGAGCGGGAACGAGCCCGGGCCACCTTCCTGGCGCGGGGCAGCGGGAGCACCATCAGTGAAGCAGAGTGCCACCATGCCCGGCACTCCTGGTTCTGCAAACGCCTTGCAGAGGCATCCTCCTGCAGTGTCAGGTCTGCTCCTCGCCAGTCCTGCCCCCCTGGCCCTCTGCCTGCTCCATCTGGACGCCCTTGGTATAGCATGTGCTTCTTCTGTGGGCAGAAGGTCCCCCTGTGGACTAGGTAGAGGCAGCACGTAGGGCAATCTCTGTCCTAGACTGTGCTGCCCCATGTCCGAAAGCCTGGACAGGCATGTCTGGGTCCATGGGTCCACCAGATTTTGGGAGGGAGGGCTCACGGCCTTTTGTTTTCGTGCTCCTAACTGTATGTTCGTTCTTGTGCCTGGCAGCATCAGCCACGTGGGTCCCATAGCAGACAGCAGCCCAGCCGGCAGCAGTAGCAAGAGTGAAGATAAGACCCCGCTGCCCTCAGAGCAGGAGTCCAGGTGAGCTGACCCCCCTCTCTTCTGTATACAGCCACAACACCCATTATAGATAAAAGAAGGCATTACCACTTCCACCCCAGAAGAGCAAGCGTCCACCCTAGAAACCAGGCCCCGAAAGGACACATTTGACCCCAGGTCTCTAGGGCCAGACAGCTGATCTGCTAGCTTTGTGGCATAGCACACCCTATGCCACTCATATTAGACATGAGGCAAGCTTCCCCGAGCTCCGGCCAGGCCAGGCCAGCCTGCCACCAGGATTGGGTCTTATAGGACTTCAGGCTTTCTACCCAGCCTGACAAATCTGTTCTCTCTCTCTCTCTCTCTCTCTCTCTCTCTCTCTCTCTCTGCAGATCTGTGGACTGGCCCACTTTCCTAAGAGAGAATGTCATCTACATCTTGGCTGCTCGCCCTAACAGTGGAGCGATTCACCTGAAACCCCCAGGATAGTGTGGGGCAGAGAGGATTAGTTCCGGGACGGTGGCATCTTCCCCCTCCTCTCCTTTCTCTTTCCTCAACCAACCTCTGGCACTGAGGCTCACAGGAAAGGGGCACTGCCAGCATCTTAATTTGTCACTAAGTTCTATGGCACTGAAGCCACCGTTCCCCTGCCAACAGAGGCAGTCTGTGGAATGCCACACTGAGAAGCCCTGAGAGCTGTGGCATCTTCACCTGCTACTGGACCACCTCCCGCCCTCTGCCACCTCATGCGTACATATATGTGCACCTGCACATGCAGCCACATACATGCCTAGGTAGCCATGCCTTCAAACTCCTGGTTCTTTTTTCAATGAAAAAGGACCAAAATCCCTTTGTGAACCCCCTGGTATAGATGAGAGGGTCTCGTCTCACTCTTTCTATTGGCCAGTTCTGATTTCCAGTAGAAAGGAAGGGGCAGACTAGCCTCGCTTCCCCTCCAAGAGATGCCCAGAGGCCCCCTGCCCACATTGAAACCCCCTTCTGTGATGAGCCGCTGTTGCTCGTGAGTGTCTGTGTGTCCCTCAGGTGTGCTGTGGGAGAACAGTGAAAATTCATCCCTCAAGTTCGTGTTTAAACTCTAATTCCTCATGACAGAAGAGGAAACTAGCTTGTGGGTTTCTCACTGCAGAAAGTGGAGACAGCCTCTCCCAGAGACCCAGAATTCTAGGAACTTTTCAACTAGGTCATCCAGCTTCACAAGCCGTTAGCAGACCAGGAAAACCAAGGTGAGCCTCCTGGCCCCTACTTATTGAATGGTATCGCATGGTCCAAAGCTCTAGGGACACGAGTGGGACAGATGCACTGGCAGGAATTGCAGCCCTCTGTGGGAGATGCTTCACTGGCTGCCACGGAGGTCGATGAGGATACAATCCCGTGGGAGAGGAGAGAAGAGCAGGCTTGTCCTGCTTCCCAGCCCAGCTCCACCGCAGACATAGAAATGTGGCATTGTGTGGAGGGCAGGCCGGCCTCGGCCATAGCCTGGAGGAGCCCTGTGGAATCCCTAAGCCGTCGTGCTGAATCAGAAGAGGATACGGCTAAGGCTTGCGAAGATTTGTATCTCAACTGTCAAGAAGTCCTAGTCAGCATCCTAAGGGGGAAGAGTTTGTCCTTCTGCCCATCATGGAGTTGTAGCCTCAGCTGCTGCTTCTCTCTGCTGCTAACTCATGTCTTCCCCGCCAGGCTAGGAGCTGCAGCTAGCCTGAGAAGCTCTGTGGACCAGCAGAGAGTGCCACAGGTGCACCAGGGTTGGCCAGCAAGCTTTACCCAAGCCCATTGCCCAGTTCTGAAGCTCTCAAGTCAGTACATGACGTGGGTCAGCCCTTAGTATATGGCGTGGGTCAGCCCTTAGACCTGGGCTCCAGGTTCTGGATTTCTGTTTTCAACCAGATGACTCAGGTATAGCCAGTTCTGACAACGAAGGGTTCTTCAAGAAAGGGTTGAGCCAAGTCATGCAGAAGCTTGCATTATCTCCATTGCTCAAATCCCTTGTACTAAAGTGGATGGTTACAGAAGGAGCCCATCACCCAGTGATGCTCAGGTGAAGTGGGAAATGAAGCCAGGGCCTTGCCTAGAGTCCTGGGTGGTCTGTTTGTAGGAACCGCCTGCCCCAGAAGCAGGGTGGTAAACTGCTGGAGACAGATTATGTAGGACTGAGATGTTACAGATAGAAGATACATTTTGGGGTTCACTGTGAAACCCACAGTTTTTTAAAAACTACTACTTTTAAAGCTGGGTATGGTGGTATAAACCCTTAATCCCAACACTTGGGGGACAGAGGCAGGTGAATCTCTATGAGTTGAAGGCCAGCCTGGTCTAAATAGTAAGTTACACAAGTGAGACTTGGTCTCAAAAATAACAATGAAAACTACTCAGCCATGTCCCCAGGACTTATTGATAAGGGGGCCCATTATTTAAGAAAGAAAGAAAGAAAGAAAGAAAGAAAGAAAGAAAGAAAGAAAGAAAGAAAGAAAGAAAGAAAGAAAGGAGGGAGGGAGGGAGGGAGGGAGGGAGGGAGGGGGGGAGGGAGGAAGGAAGGAAGGAAGGAAGGAAGGAAGGAAGGAAGGAAGGAAGGAAGGAAGGAAGGAAGGAAAGCACAAAGCTCAAAGCTCCTGGACTCAAGGACTGTCTGTAGCAGCCAGGCCTAGGGTTTTCCACGGAGAAGATTAAAGCATGTTAAATATAAGGTCTCTTGCTCACTCTCCCAGTGAGTCATCATCTATCCCTGTGGCTGGGAGCTGCTGAACCTCACAAGACATCATCTCTGGGCTTTGGGAGCTGAACAGATCTTTCCTGCCACTCCCCAGCTGTAGGTACTGGGAGCCCATCTTGCTCCACGGTCCTTTAAGATGATGCTTGCCACTTTGGAGCTGTGGAGGTTTTGTTTGTTTGTTTGTTGCTTGTTTGTTCTGAGTTTCTTGCTCCTGCAGTTGAAGGGCAGAAGACCACAGGCTGGCTGGGTCCCAGAGTTTGCAGAACCAGCCCCACAGCTCATCCACACTAGGACCAGGCCTATTTGGGAGCACCTCTGTATCCAGGACAGTGGTTTTCCTTGGTGGGGGCCTGATGCAGAGGGCCCACGGGACTCTACCCCCAACAAAGAATGGGGGTTCCAACTTACAACAATCCTGAGAAGCAAAAGAGCATACAGGACAGCTGGCCTCTTCCCCATGATCATCTCGTTTACCAAAGGGAGGGTCCCTTGCTCCCTAATCCACTGCTGCAGAGGCTCACCCCAACCCCAGTGTCCATGCTCTCTCTGAAGTGGCCTCCCGGAGCCCCTGGCGCGTGCACAGAGGTGCACTGTCATCACCCAGTGAGACTCATCCCTTTTCAAGCCTTCCTATCACTGTGACTGTCTGAAGTCCTGCCAAGTGCAAACATTAATGTCTGGCTCTGATGAGGGTATGAGAAAATGTTTCTGTCTTTTCCGTCTTGGCTGCCAACAATTAAGATCACTGCTTTTCCCAAACACCATCCATCCTGAACTCCAACCAAGGGAGGCTTGGAGGCTTGAGTTACACGTGTGCTTCCCTGAAGACTGCTTGCCCCAAGCTTGGTTTTCCTCCAGCAGTTTTTGTCCATATGTTCAAAATTAAATGAAGGGTCAGAGTTCCTGAGATTGGCTTAGCCCTGCACAACAATCCAGGTCTGTTCCTTGGCCTCCTCCCCTGAGGCAGTGACCCCTTGTGGTATCCCAGGGATGGAGCAGTTTCCTCATTCCTAGGTACTGATCCACTCAAGTGCCCTTCCTCTGAGGATAGCTGCAGCAGAAGCCATGAATACATTGCCTCTTTCTACCCCCAGCCCAAGCAGTGGGCTGGCAGGGTAGACACTTGCCTTTCCAGCCCTTGTGCTCCCTATGGGAGGTCACCTGGACCTTGTTTAAGTGGCCAGGCCTTGGAGTTCCCCCATTCCTATCACCAAAACAGAAAGCACAGAATTCAACTGCCTGGAAAGAGGCCGCTCCCCAGGAAAATGAATACCAAGGCTGCCCCATGCCTTAGCCCAAAGCACAACAGTCTTTGTAGGCATCACAGCTTCCAGCAGTGCAGAAAGCACTCAAGCTAAGAGACAGGCTCCGCAGACACTGCCTAGTAGGGGCCCGTCCAGCCGTCACTACCCAAGAGCCAAAAGTAAGCAACCTTGGGGCACAAAACTTGACTGGCAACAGGCTCTGATGGCGATATTCCATGTCTCCTTCCAACCAGCAGAGTAAAGACATAATGCAGTCATACACTGCACATGTAATAGAAAGACACGTATATAGGGTCATTTGTGGCCCAGAGCATGGAAAACAAGCAGGCCTTGTCTGGACCCATGAGTAAGAAGCCCAGTTCCACTCTGGAAATCCATTCTGAGAGCTGTGTCATTAGGCAACTTCTTAGTGCAAGCATCAAAGAGTGCTCTTACATAAACCAAGACAGCTACCATGTTACTAGGCAATATAACTTATAGGACCACCATTGTACATGCCGTCTGTTGTTGGTTGAAATGTCACTATGAGGCACATGACTATTCCGTACTTGGCACTAAAAGGCAAAACAACCTTGATGCCAGAATTTCAGAAAACCCTGGAAGTACCTGTCACCTTGGCCCCCTTTTAATCTGTCATTTACAGTGGAGTCAAGTCACCACATTCTCCTTGCCATTTGGGTTTAATTTGCTCACTGTGTCTCCCTTGGTCCTAGCTGCTGCCCAGACAATGGAGATCTTAAGTGGGCATGATGAGTGTATGGCCTGTTCCCACAGCTCAGCCCTGGAATATGGTGGGGCCGAGCTTTCCTCCTGGAGTTGCTTGCTTTTTGCCACTATTTTTGGCAACCTTGAAAAGAATTTCCACTAGACCAGCACTAAAGAAAAGCTGCCCCCGCTGGGCTGCATGCCCCAATAGTCCAGAGTATGGAGCAGAGGATCTGGTCTGATCTAAAAGAATGATTAAGAAGCCTAACTCCAGTCCAGATTGGGATGGAACGGGTTGGCCTCTCCAGACGGCAAAGGCCTTCAGATTTAGCCTCCAACCATTAAGGGATATTGTGGTCTGTTTCCAGCCAAACAGGCTGGAGGGGAGGGGTGTCTGAGAACCCTGAAGTAACTGAGGACCCAAGGCTCTCTAGTTCCTCATGTCCTTCCCACGGCCTTTTCTGCTGAAGATAACTTGGCAGCAATCAGAAGGGACCAACCCTGAGCCCTCTTCCTATCTACAGCTGCATGCTCCTCCCTGTGACTCAGCCTTCACAGTACTCCGAGCAGGAGCTCCCAGCGGCTGGACCCTGCAGAAACCAGAATAAAGAGATTGTGATGTTGTTTCTGCTGCTTGCTTCCTGTTGTTGGGGATCCTCCCATTTCTCTGTCATTTCCCATCCCTGAGCAGTTCCTGACCTGAGTATAAAACACAGGACAGTGCAGCCTTCAGTCTGTCTTCAGTGTTCATATTCTTAGTGGGGTGTGTGTGTGTGTGTGTGTGTGTGTGTGTGTGTGTGCGCGCGCGCGCGCGCATGCACTGTGTGAGCATGCATGTGCCTGTCAGAGCACCTCAAGGGACCTGTTGCCGTGTAGTCTAGCACCTCCCCTCTCCACTCCTCAGAATAGACCCAGACAGAGAGCCAGGCTTGTAGCCACGTTACAGACGCTTCACCACCTGCACAAGTCTTCCACGCTTCCTGCTTCCACACTCCCCCCCCCCCATCTAGGGTTTTCCCACAGGGCAGGGAGTATCCACCCGACTAGGGAAGTTTGACAGTCACAGGAGTTCCTTCTTATCTCCAGACTGGGGAAGCTGAGCAGCAGGGTTGCAAAAGGCGTGAAAACTGATTCTTAGCTGGTGAGATGGCTTCAGAGAGGAAAGGCACTTGCTGCCAAACCTGATGACCTGAGTTCGATCCCCGTGGCAAATGGAGATAACTCCCATAAGTTTCCCTCTGACCTCCACATGGCATGGCATGTATGCACACACAAAATAAATAAATATGCAATCTTTAAAAATTAAAATCCCGCCAGGCGGTGGTGGTGCACATCTTTAAACCCAGCACTTGGGAGGCAGAGGCAGGCAAATACTAGTGACTTTGAGGGCAGCCTGATCTACAAAGTGATTTCTAGGACAGCCAGAACTGTTACACAGAGAAACCTTATCTCAAAAAAAATAAAAATAAAAAATAAAATAAAATAAAATCCTGTACTCTATGAACAACAGAGTTTCCTCCCCCTCCCCCATTCAGCAATCCTAGTTGGAGGTTTAATCCCTGCTAGGACCGTACTCTCACCAGGGGCCACTTGCTCCCAGGGCTTGTTGGAACCCCACCTCTGCACAAACTTCTGCCTGTCTGGCTCTGTACGCTCCCTCTGTCTACCAAGAAAGTCATTCCCCCAAGGAGAAACAGTGCTACTCAGTTCTCTAAACATCAAGTTAAACCCAGTGTTCTCCCTAACTCCACTTTTTCCAGGGGTTCCTTGGATTTGACTCGACAAATCTGTTTCCTCATCTTTAAAAAAAGCTAAAGAACAGTTCCTGTCATGTCTGCCTTCTGAGCTGATAGAAAAAACAGATTGAGGTTGGTGAGAGGAAAGGCTCCGAGCTAGCGAGCAGCTAGATTCTGGTTCCTCTGAAGCTGTGTGTTACCTTCCACCCTCCTGCAGTCTCAGGCATAGACAGCTCGAGGTACCGCCCGTGGTCTCTGTCCACAGTGCTGAAGTCACAGCCAGCTAGAGACTGTCGGTCCTTTGTTCCCACTCCAAGTAAACATCAAATGTAGAGATTTCTAGGCTCAAAGATTGCCCTCAAATTCAGAAAGTATCATCAAAATGTTTTTATTTAACTTATTTCAAGTTTTTTTTTCAAAATCATAATAGACCAGAGATGAATCAGCAGCTCAGGGGCAAAAAAGTGCTTGTGGTTTTAACCTGGTATGAGTGATCTATATGAGTTAGCTACCAAAAAAGGAAAAGCAAAATGAATGCCACCTAAGGTTACATGGAAAAAAGTCTAGCTAGTAAGGGAGGGGAGGCAAGCCATCCTTTTTCCTTTTCTTTTTCTTTTTTTATTTTCAAGACAGGGTTTCTCCATAGCTTTTGGAGCCTGTCCTGGAACTAGCTCTTGTACAGACCAGGTTGACCTCGAACTCACAGAGATCCACCTCCCTCTGCCTCCCAAGTGCTGGGATTAAAGGTGTACACCACCACTGCCGGGCTGAGGCAAGCCATCTTGTTCAAGCCTTGTTCATATCCAGCACTTCTGGAACGAGCACAGACTGAAAGCCTTGAATGGCT